ATCTTCGGCTATAAAAAGGCACTCCGTGTTCGAGGTAAGGCATCCAACTCCCGAGACCTACACCACTACTTAGCTCGGACCGGCATCCTTATAGCTCGGCCCGACCATCCTATCACCCCCTACTGACTTGAGCATCGGAATTCTTACCCAGGGGTAACTCCTCGGGCCTCTGACTTCTGTTTCCTTGATCACAGGTCTTGAAGCACAGCCTCGTCCTTGTAGCTTAGCCCCGCCCTGCCAGCAAAGACTATTTAATTGCCCTCCTCAATTCGTGCACCAACTCAGATTGAACAGCATCAATACCTCTTCCATTTAGGCTACTTTCCATGTTAATATATATTATTTATTATATGATTTCCTATTCTATTCTTGTTTGTTATTTAGGTACCAATTTTAACGAATGATTTGAACATTTATATGTTTAAAATACCTTTGTTATTTGTATAATTTTCTATTCTATCCTCAACTACTCAATGATCAAATTTTTCACAAATTTCCATCTTATCCATATTAATTCATTAAATTTATATCTATGCATGTGGAACCTTTGAATCCATGTGCCTTCACCTTAGATTGAGAGCTTTGACCAATATTCATGTGGAAAGGTGAAAAGGTCAAACCAGCAATTCTTTTGTACTTTTCTACATGTTGTCCAAAATGTCAAATCAACATGGATACCTAATAAGTAATATCTTTTCAAATTTACATTCTGCCCTTTAACAATCTCTATTGTTTATACAATTTTCCGGTTTTTATCCATTATTTCATTTCTTTTCTCCATTCACTTTCAATGAGCTCTTATATGCATGTGCCACTCATCAACTAGTACCCAAAAAAATAAGAATTTTGTTAAAAAAAAAAAAAAACAGGATTGTATCACCCATCTGTGAAAAGAATTCTGTCATTGCTAAGGAGACCAAATTTTTTAGGCCACAAGTGTCTTTTGATGGAAAGAAAAGTTCTTACCAAACTTCACAAAATTTGTAAAGAATATTACCTTAATTTTCTGTTCCTCTGACGAGGGACGATTTTGGTGGGATGGGATGGGATGAGAAAGAGAAAACGGGTGAAAATTTTTCATGTTCTATTGTTTGGTTGCAAGAGGGAAAATAGTAAGAAAATCAACTCCAATGACAATTAAATTATAGTTTTAATATTTTATTAGTAATTATTAAATTATAAAATTATTATCAAATGATTATTTATATTTTATCTAATTATTTAATATTTTGTTAATTAGTAAGTAATTATTAATTAATTGATATTAATAATTAGTTAATTAATTATTAACATTAATTAATTAATTTAACTAAATTATTTTATTAATATTTTTAAATAAAAAATAATTTATTACTAGATCACGGATCTAATATTAACTCTTAAAAATACAAGAAAGGTGTGTTCTTTTATGCTAAACAAGTTTCCTCCTCCTTTTTCATTTGTTTCACACCAAAATGGTGTGATTCAACTTCCCAAGAATTGAGAAATGTAATCCTACCTTTTTTCCTATCCCATTTCTTAATATCCCACAAACCAAACATGGGAAAGAAAGAAATTCCAAGAACATTCTTTTTTTTTTTCTCTTCAAATCCCACAAACCAAATGGAGCCTTAAGGCTCACAAATGAAAAGAAAAACAATAGAATAGATGACCCTCTGGATTTGTCATGTATCAAACACTCCAAGTAAGCTCCATTACACTCATGAATTAAAGTTATAATAAATTAGTAGCAGCCCCCTAATTATTTTAACTTTTAATTTGAAACTTTCCCCACAAAAGAGAACTTATCTAGAACACATAACAAGATTTCACATTTTAGTAGTTTGAAAGATGAGACAAATATTTAGTAACCCATAATCAAGAAAAGGTTGGAAGTCATTATTATCATCATGATCATCATCTTGTCCCAACTATATGGGGTTTGGCTAGGAATAGCAATCRCACGGGGATGGGGAGCCACTGCCTATCACCATCCCCACCAACAAGGATAACGTTTTCCCTATCCTTGTGGGGATCCCCACTCCCTATCATTTTTTTATGATGTGAAATTTATTTTACTTTTTGATTTCTATTTCCTTCATTTTTTTTAATAAATAGTTACAATTTAGGATGGTAAATTACAAAGACCCTTTGTACTATAAGGTCAATGACAATTATCCCTAAACTTTCATTTGCAATAAAGACCCCCGTGAACTTTCACTTTGCAACAAATACACCCTCTATAAGAGTTCCAACAGTTAACTTAAAAAAATTCTTACTCAACTATTTAAATTTTTTAAATCCCCAAACTACCCCTTTCTTATTTATTTAAACAATTTATGATTCAATAGGTTTTCTAAATATAATATTAAAGCCCTCTTGGTTGTTCTAATAAATCCTTGCAGATTTCTGATTGGATTCAATTTTTACATGAAATGGTAGAGGTTTCTTTCTATAAATATAAATTTAAGATCCACTTAGTTTTTTCTTGGTTTATTGGAGGAAGGAGTGGATAACTTTTATATTTTAAGATGAAGAGGGGCATTCATGTTAGTGAAATGAAACAAGAATTCAAAGAAACTTGTTTTTCTATGTCAATGAAATGATTACTGTTATTATAGCTGGTTTCCTTTGGAGAGGTATTTTTTGGTCAATTAGGGTTTAAGAGAAAAGGGTGAAGAAAAGAAAATAAAGAAAGTTCAAGTGGGTATTTTAGTAATTTAATATATTTCATCATCTAATTTAAAGGCCAAGGGGTATTTGTTGCAAAGTGAAAGTTCATGAGGGGTGACGGCCTTTGTCACAAATAAAAGTTCGATCAGGAGAATAATTGTCACTATCCCCATAATACAGGGGGTCTTTATAATTTACCCAAACTACAATCATAGCAAATAGATCCAAACATATTCAGCCTTTTTAATATTAACACAAATATATATTACTCAGCACTACCAGGGATCCCAATGAGGTAGAGATTGGGAACCACATGGGGCAAGGAGAGCTAGGGATCTTCACAGTTAGGTTAACCAAACTGTGGGTATTTTTTTAACCGAATCGAACAGTTCCGCTTTTTAAAAAGCCGAACTGAAACCGAATCAATGTAGTTCTATTTACAGCTTTTTAAAAAGTGTCGTTTTATGCAAGGTTCAATAATAACCTCAATTTCTTTTCAATCTAGTTCTATTTACAGCTTAGATCTTTATCTAATCTTCTTGTATTAAGGCCTGTTATTTTCTTTTGTGAATCAAAACTTAGGATCTGTTTGGTTTGCAGTCAGAATTGGAATCAAAATCCTTCAGAATTAGAATCGAAATGATCTATTTCCATAATCTGTTTGGTTCAGACTTAAATGAGAATGAGAATTAAAACCAGCAAGAATGAAATTTCATTCCCAAGGGAGAGGCAAGGAATGTCCATTCCCTCAAATGGGAAAATGCTATTCCAACAGGAATGGGAATTGGATTCTAATTCCACCCAACCAAATAATTGGAATCGGAATAACCCATTCTGATTCCGATTCCAAACCCCTATTCCCACAAACCAAACGGGACTTTAATTACTGCTCTGATCAAAAGTTTTACAATGTGTATTGCGCAAAGGAAAAGGCAAAAGGTTGATTACGGATTATGTTCCTTCTATCTTCAAAATTTTCTTTCTCGTGTTTAATGTCGTACAGAGCATAGAGGACTGAGGACCTGAGGCTAACAAGGAGGAAAGGGGCAGACGTTGGACATATGGCATCTGTTATTCCTTCAGAGTTCGGACTATGGATTGGCAGATCGCTGAAAGGCCGAGGCTATCGGAGAGGAAAGGGGCAGATGCCGGACATCAGACGACGGAGCACTGAAGGTCGGAGGCTATGCTTCTTCTTTGTTGCATGTTCGTCGTTCTCCCTTCAACTATAAAGACTAGAGAGAGATGGGGATTGGGACTTGCGAGGGAGGAGAGGAACTTAGCTAGGATTTCAACTATCAAAACTGAGTTGATTTTCGATTTTGGGAAGGGAAATAATATTTTAAAGCAATTGTAAATATATATATATATATATATATATATATATTCCGCTTTTTTTAACCGAAAACCAAAAACCAAACCAATTCTTTAATTTTTCAAACAAAAAAGAAAAAAACAAAACTGAACTGACCAGTTTGATTAACCAAAATTTTCGGTTCAATTTCTTCATCAGTTCAGTTCGTTTTTTCAATTTTTGGTGAACACCCCCCAAGGAAGGATGGAAACTTCCCAGTCCCCACCCCCGCAGGAGAAAATCATTATGGGGTGGTTCCCAATGGGATGGGGAAAATTGCCATCCCAAGGTTCGGCTACATGAATCCTCTTTACCATTCCTTCTATTCATACCATATCACCGGACCGAAAAACTGGGACCGTTTTACCCCCGAGTCATCTTTTTGGCCAAAAACCGTTGATTTGGTCAGCAAACCGCTGACCAAAGTTCAAATACGGGCCGATACATATTGTGCCGATGGCTTCCCGATACGCCCCTCCAGGGGCTGTATCGGGTCAGACACTGGTTCAGAGGGTAACCAGGCCTTAAACCAACCCCTCTGAACCGGTTTTGAAAAATAAAATAAAACCTAAAAAAAAAAGTACCAATACATTGTCGATACTTTGAACCTTGCCGCTGACCTGGGCAGTCAAACCATTCAAACCGTTCAAACTATCCTGCGGTTTTTGGCCATTTTTTATTTTTTAATTTCTTTTGTCAGAACGGGCCATCTATTTGGTTCAAATGGCGGACCGTTAGACCCAGGAACCAGAAAATATAAGGTTAATGGCTTATCATTACAATTGGGCTTAATAATCTAAACCCAAGCCCACATACCCTGTAAATGGGACTTTAATTTGGGCCCAGGCCTGGACCATGGCCTAGGTGCACCACCCTAGGTCCAGGTGATGGCTTATGTTATCAAAATTTGTGAGCTGCAGACTGCATTAAGGTTCTCTCTGCCTACAAATTCAGACCAAAAAAAAAAAACAGTTAGAATACCCAATCACCCACAAGCTCATAAGAATCTAATTTTATACAGCTCAGAGAAACATTTCAAGGCCATACCATGGATGGATTAGAACAGGGAAGATCCTTTCATGAATGCTTAGTTACAGCTACATACACAAACATGGCATTCACATACATAATATGTCTAGAGACCAAGAGAAATTTTACTTGTGGTAATAGAAGTTCTTCACTGAAACATAACATTCTGAATACAGAACATGTAAACACATCAGCATGCATCTATTGATATTCTCCATCTTGCATGGAACTGAAGAACTTCAAGCTGAAGTGGGTGGCAGCAAAAGAGGATATACCGAATTATACCTACAAATCAATTTCCACTCCAATGAATAGCTTATATTACAAATAAGCTACCAAGGCAACTACTATGCACTTGCAAAATATTTTCACAATTATCAGTCCATGGATAACTAAATCTCTCACGCATCATGCATTAACCTCATTATGGGGCTGTCAAAAACTGCCTTTTGATGACCATAATATTACCCACATTTGCATATTGAAGAGCAATAAAGATTAGAGAAAAAAATCAAGCAAATATGAAACTTCCTGTTTAGCCTTTGTCAAAAGAATCCAACTTCACAATAAGCATAAAAGCCTAAAAATGCTATAGGCATGAACTAGAACATGGCATACATCAACAAATTACATTACCTGGTGCAAGGGTAAAATTTTGGACCGACAAGTGTGAGAATTCAAGTATGAGAGTGTCCACTTTATGCAAAGAAAAATGCCAAATTTAGGTCTGTATCCACCCATCCCAAGACCCCAGATAGCAGATAGGCAGGACCATCATTGGGTAATGAGTTACTATAAATGGCCCAAAGACAAGTCACATTTTGTGAAACAGAAAAGAAAAGTTAACATCATCATTAGTCCTATGGGTTAAATTAAATACCAGTTAAGAAGGCAATCCCTAGGTACGCATGAAGTAACTAACAAGAAGCATAAGTGATATGACGACCCCTTCATATTGTCTTCAGGATTCTAACTCTACTTCAAATTCATATGTTAGTTAGGATTGAGAATAATTACAGTAAGCAAGTTGATAACAATGGATATTTAAAAGCATAATAGATGATCACTGCATAGAAGAGGATAATAAGAATTGACAGTCCTTTTAACTGAATCATGCATTCCACAAATTGAGTCATATGTATAGACTATTCCTTTCTACATGCATCTTCAGGAAGCCTGGAATAGACCATAAAAGCTCTTCATGAAGAAAATGAAGACCACAAAAATTGATTCAGCATACTCAATTTACTCCATATTCGGTATTCCTCCAGAAAAAACTTAGCATCTTGTTTCAAATTTGAGAATATGTGGCATGGATTGACTTGGAAAAACCAATAAATGGCCAATCTTATTAAAAGAATAAAATAATGCTACCAACTTAGGGCATATCCTGAATTCCCTGACAAACTGAGATGACTTGGCATATTTAAAGATATTTGAGTTGGTGAGTTTGGATGGTAATGAATACTTAATTTTAGTGGATGAGCAGGGAATGAACCTGCATCACTGGTTAATACTAACAGATTGATACCCCTAATCCCTGAAATAGAGCATACAGTTAAAGGTGATCATCTTTCTTTCATTCAATTCACGTCCCATGAATTGCAACTTCACTATAGAAAGCAGAGTTGTATCATTTACAATTTTATAAAGGCAGGCTTCATTTCAAACATGAAGCATCTCTCTCTGTATATAACTATGTTTCCCAGATGCGGTGAGGACATAGCTGAACAAGGTGTCAGATACGAAATTTGCTCTAAAAAATTGAAGTATCCAACAAGATACAACACCCTTATACGGGTATCCTGGTATCTTAGGTATATAATAGCCAATAACTTTTGCATGAAATCAGTTACCTTTCTCTCTCTCTCAAAAAAAAAAAAAAAAACTATTGCTAACCGAAAGATGCACCTTCAAATTTTCTATATAATCTGATTTCCCTGTATTCATACACCTCACTACCCCAGCATACCCGCATGGGTTAAACTTGGGAAACCCAGAGCTAACTCGTCAAGGGGTATCCTTCTCAATGCAAGAAGAAGAATATGCTGCAACAATGTGATGAAGGTTGCACAGCCAAAAGAATTGAATGACCAAAGAACCCACAGAAACTGCTTCAACATAATTTGTTTATTCATGCTATTCCAACACAGAAATTTTTGCTGCTTCAGCTTACCCACGACTGTTGTTCTAACATCATATCTACTACTAAAAGTCTAAAACCATCAGAGGGCTGTATAATCCAAGTACAACTGATTTGATACACAAAATAATTGTAAAAATTCTTATTGGAAATCGATTGTGCAAATAATCTTATCACAAACACCTTTATTTTTTCTTTTTTCCCCCCTCCATTTTTTGAGATGCGAGCTTGAAAAGTTGGTAAAATCWGTAGATGTTGATTTCGTAAACTTATTTCAATAGAAGCTTGTTAACAAGGAAATTGATAAGTTTTCCCTTGAAGAAGAGATTTAAACAGTAAAGGAAGATGCAAGAGAAGATTTGAAGCTTGGTAACGCTAATGCCTGTGGGGTGGGGAAGATGGTTACTGAAATACCCAGAACCACTAAATTCCGGAAAAAATTCCTACATCACCGGCCAATCCTTTTTAAATTTATACCCCCAATTTTCCGGAAAAAAAAAMTTGTCAAGACCGAGAAGTGTTAGATCAGAAAACATAAACAGGGCAAAGCAAGCAGATTTGAATGTTAAGATCGTAAATGGTAGAACGGTAGATTATCTGTTACCTCAGCAACCAAAGGAGATACATCTTTTCTCCCTTGGCACGCTTTGCTCTTACATTGGGGAATTGTCCCAAACTGCTTAGCCGGCAATTTCTCCGACAGAGCCCCGACGTAGAAGGTAATCGTGTCCGAGGCTTCGTTGACTTGAAATCCTGTGATGCTCACCCACAAGAATAGCTTCTTTGCCTGAATCCCCGACACATTGGTTACAGCTCCATAGCTGAGTTTCCCTGTGATCTTGGTGTCATAGTATACGAGTTCGTCGAAATGGACGTAACACGGGCGCTCAAGCTCGACAGAGAAGTCTCCGTTGTCGGATAGTGAATAGGATGTGACGGCGTCGGGGAGGAGACCCTTTGGGAGGCCGAATTCGGGGAGGAGGTCGTGGACCGATTTGATAGGCGGTTCCACAGTGGAAACGATCGGAAGAGGAAGTTCCAAGACGTCGTCGTCTGGTACGGCGAGAGAAGGATGGATGTTAATGGAACACAGGATAAAGGTTAAACACAAAGTGGYCGCAGTTGCAGAGATAATTCTCGGAGAAATCGCCATTATTGGAGCTCCTCAGAGTCAAAGACTGTTCGAAGAAGCGATGAAAGTGGAAAGAGATAAAAGAGGCGACGACTAGAATTATTATAAATTTATAGACTCCGCAGGTGGGTGTGGGTCCCCATGTTCATTTTTTTATGGGCTGTGCGCTGTTCTGGTCCGATGGTCCCTCGGGTTGTTGTAGCAGAAAAGGAGGAACAAGAAGAACGGTCCCAACCCGAACTCTGCCCCACCTGTTAATGGAGTCAGTCAGAGCATCTAGGGCTGTAAAACGCCTGCCTAAAGGGGATTCGTTAATAGAGTGAGTCAGATTCTCTATTTGATAATGGAAGCCATCGTCTTTAAACTTTAAACTTAAGTGAAATTTTTCAAATGTAAAGAATATTGTTTTGAAGTCTGAATTGTGAAAATATTTAAATGTCCATTTTAACCCTATCAGATAATTTTTTGTTTATGTAATTCAATAAAAAATAATATTAAAAATTAGTATAATAATTATTTCTTAATAAATAATTATTGCTAATTAATATAATAGTTAATAATTAAATAACAATTAATAATTAATAAGTCATTATTAACTTTTTGTAATTCATTAATAATTAATTATTATTATTATTAATTAAGAATTAAATTAATCAATAATATAATTAATTCGTTATTATTATTACTAATTATGATTAATTCATATTCAATTCGTTATTAATTATTAATTCATTGTTAATTAACTATTTCTATCACTGTTATTGATTAATTAATTATTCTAATTATTATAATTTATTAATTTACTATTATTAATGACTAATATTATTAATTATTGATTACAATTATTCATATTCAGTAATTTTATTATTAATAAATTTCAATTATTGTTAATTTACGCATTACTGATTATTAAAATTATTAATAACTGTATAATACTATATAATATTATTATTGACTATTATTATGCGTTATTATTAATAAATAATTAATATTACTTATTATGAATTAATTATTCATTCATTAATTAGTAATATTATTCTTAAGAAGTTATTGTTAATTACATATTATGAATATTATTATTATTATTATTATTATTAAGATCATCATCATCATCATCATCACCATCATCATTATTAATTACTAATATTGTTAATTCTTAATAATTACGATTAATTATTAATTACTTAATAATTAATAGTATTAATAGTATTATTAATTAACATTAATGATTAATATTATTCATATTACTATTAACAATTGTTAATATTATTATTAATTAATTATTAGGTACTACTTAATAATTCATTAATGATTAATACTAATTAATCATCGCTAAGCAATAATTATTAATGAAATATTAACTATAAATTATTAATTCGTTGTTATTTAATTAATAGTATTATTGTTATTAACTAATTAATTACTTAATTATTTTTACAAATTAATTATTCTAGTTATAATTAAATAATTACAATTATTGAATAATTGATTATTATTAATTACTAATATTATTAATTTATAGTTAAAATAATTAATATTAAGTAATATTATTATTAAGTGTTGTTCATTATTAATAATTATGATTTAATAATTATTAATATTATTAATAACTATAAAATAGTATAAAACAGTATTATTAATTAGTAATAATATTAATAACATCAATTACAAATTAATCATTAATGAATTAATTTTAATATTACTTTTTGGAATTACTATGAAATAATTATTCATTTAGTAATTAATATTATTATTCTTAATTATTTATTATTGACTATAGATTATTAATATTTTATTAATTAATTTTAATATTATTATTTATTACTTGCTTCTAATATGATTAATTTTTTAATGTAACATTATTATTATTATTACTATTAAAGATTATTAATTAATATTTTTAATATTATTAATTAATCTTAATATTATGAACAATGAATTATTAATTATTACTTAATAWTTAAATGTTAAATAAGTATTTATAAATATTAATTATTGATTTAATGATGAATAATTAAATATTAATTAATTAGTAATGAATTATGATTATTTATTAATTGGTTATGAATATTAAGTAATATTATGATTATTAATTAATTAATTCTGAAATTTTATATTATTAATAATTGTATAATACTATATAATATTATTAGTAATTGTACAATACTATATAATTATTTTGTAATTGTATAATATTATTATAATTGCTAATTAATTCTTAATTCCATCAAGAATAGAACAATGTACATTATGGCAAGTATTATAGCCTAAATATTAAACAATTCGAGATAACTAGTACAAGTACATCAAAGTTTTATCAATGTTCAATCTCAATATCCACAATCGTGACACAATGCTATATATATATATATAATATTGATGTACCATATCATCTACTATATCATCTGATCAGCAATATACTCATGTAATTAAAACATGAATTCGCGATCCTTAGGTGAACCAATCCCAATGTTGGGATCATAGTCATCTTCTTCACTAGTTGATTCTTCATCCCCGTCCCTCCAACACTACCGCCTTCATATTCTATAAGCAATTCATCCCTGATACTCTCCCTCCTTAAATAGTTGTGGAGGGCAAAACATGCAATAACCACATCTTGTTGAATTGGAAAGGGGAACGATGCCTTTTACTTAAGAATTTGAAATTGTACTTTGAAGACCCCGAACGCCCGTTCGATTACATTCCATAATTTCGCATGAGCTTGATTAAACCTCTTCTTCCTAGTTCTTAGTCATCTATAACAAAAATCTGATATCCAATATCTTTGTCCGCAGTATGAGCCATAAAATAACAAATGTGTGGATATGTCTAATCACATAAGTAGTACTTATCTGCAACAAATGTGACAATATTGTCAAGCTTGGCATGTGAGAAGGACTTATAAATGTTATAGCCTCAAAAGACTTAAATTTAATGTTTACCGAGAGGCAGGAACGAAAAGTGATGATTAGGCTCAATTACAACAATTTTTAAAATCCTTGCATCATGCACAACCCCTCCCATCTAGGATATGTTGTTAGTTTCCTCTTTGATATTTAATGATCACTTTGGTTTTTAAGATCTTGGTGCCATGCACCTTGAATTTTGCAAAAGAGGTTAGACAATTGCTATTTTGGATTAGGGCTTACGGGCCTTGTGTGAGTTTTTCATTCTCTACTCCTGCAATTAAGGGTACACATGGATTAGATCATGATCTGATCCGATCCGAAGTTCGATCTTATTTTGTCGGATTCAGATATCCCCATTTTAATTCTTTAAATTGAACCAAACTTGGATCACCCCTTTATCTGATCTGAGAGGATCTAATCCGATATACATGTTATTTAGGATCAAATCTGACATCCTTATCGGATTCAATATTGTAGCAAATCATTTAAACATGGACAGGAGAATATTTTAAAAATGTAATGGGCAAAGCAATGACCTCAAATTTTTTTCCATTTGCATTTCAATTTCAAGTTTCAAGGAATTCGTGTTCATAATCAGGTGAGGAAGATGAAGATCGGGTCGCTATTGACTTATTGATAGGGTTCAAGGATAGGGATAGGGAGTTACTTCGAAACAGGGGACGAGGATGGGGAGTATGGTCCCCACCTTGATCCCACTCAACTTAAACCTTACATTTTGTATTATTTTGTATGTATTTGCACAGTACATATTTGCATTTGTACTCTTTCCAAACTCAGCCTAAATTCCACCATGTCAATATATTAAATTAATCAAAAAATTAGATTTGTAATAGTAGTAAAAAATTAATAACTAATAGTATATAATACCAACACATAAGGTTGTCACAATAAAATAATACTAAGATAAATTAGGAAATTAAAATAAGTATTAATAAATAAAATAAGTATCAATCATATGTAATTTATTCACATAAGTTAATAAAAATTAATTTTAGTAAGTTAAAGTCAATTTAAAAATAATAAAAATTAATGCAAAATTATCTAACAATAACTAATATATACATATAAATATATGCACACACATACATACATATAAATGATATAATATTAATGAAATGAATAATTAACAAATATTGTTAAGTTTTTAAAAACCATTTAGATTTCTTTTTAAAATGGCAAAATTTTATTTATTATATAAATAATTTTATTGTTGGACTTTAACCAACAATCCCCAAATGGAAATTTCTTAAGGCTTCTTATACTTTAATTTCAGTTAGTAAAGCCCATGCATCTGAAACATAAGTAATAAAAATAAAATTATTATAAAATTAAAATCCATTTAAATTTAATTTCAACACAATAAAAATAATAGAATTTAATCATATTTTTCTATAAAATAACAAAACTAATAAATATAAATTTATTGGATAGTGCAAAAACACAAAAGGAATGCTTGGGTGGGTTCAGGTTAACTAGCTTGGCCCAATTAGGAATGCTATAAGATTCCTTCTACCTTAGTTTCTATTAACAAAGTTTGTGCATTGCATGGGTCCCAACTAGTAAAACACTAATAAAAATAGACTAACATAAGAACACTAAAATACTATAAATGCACAAAATGAATAATTTAGTATAATAACATCTATTACAATATTATTATCTATAATAACTTGGGGTAGGTAACACTTCAAGGGCATCATGTTGCCTTGACAACCATTGAGATAAAAGGTCTATTAATTATTAATTTATTATACATATGTACAACAATATACAAGGAAATTGATTATTAATTTATTATACATATGCACAACAATATAGAGGGAAAATTATTGTTTTAGAAATACTATACTTACATCTAAACATGGGTCGGGCTCGAACAAAGATTTTGCCAAAATTTGAATAGGCTTGGCCCAAAGCCCAAGATTGAAGAAGTGTAAAATGATCATCAGTTGAACCCAAAACACGACCCATGAACAGGTCACTCACATCATACAAAAAAAATATCCTCAAATATAAAATTAATAAGGAAAAATTACATATTAGTACCCTGTACTTTTGGGCCTAGTTTCACTTTAGTCTTCAAACTTGAAAACATGTTAGTCCAATACCTAAACTTCCAAAATTTGTCAACTTAACCGTTAACCAGTTGTC